ATTATAACAAAAGAAAAAATTGGAAAGAGGCAAAAATTGAAATGTGAAAAACCGGCCGACTGGTGGGCACCTTCTTAGTTACCATGGGAAAAAAAGCATGTCTGCCAAAAATTAGGAAATTTTACAGTTTAGAATTTATTTTCCTCTTTCACTTTCAGTTTTCCCAAGATTCAAAAAATTTCAAATCTTTCAATTTCAAAACACTAGAGGTGAAACATGGATATAATTTCATTTACAGTTACATGGCCATCTTTCTAAAAAACTTTTTAAACAACACATCCAGGTCTCTGTGGCCAAGAGAAAATCTTTCCACTCTTCTTACTTGATGAAGGCAGGCACAAGTTTAATACAGTAAGGCTTATTTGGGCCTGGGTAATGTAAGAAGAGAATGGCCCTTCAAGTTGGGATTTAACCGCGCACCTTTCATGTACCGCGCGTGCATTTTGTTTAGGTCAAAAACCAAATTTCATTTGGTTTTTTTTTCCCTGGAGCCCTTTCTAGGCGGTAAAAAACTCTTAATTCAAGCTTTTACAAACCCACTTGGATTTTTTTTTTTGGCCCAACACCCTTCCCAGTCGATTCAGCTACCCATACGTAAGAAAGTAACTCCACTTTAATGGTATATTATTCAATATCAGATTAATTCCAATTGTCTTACCAAAACAATGACAAACGAAGTGAATCTTAAGCAAAATCCAAATTTGAACATAATCTAAATCTTTTTCAGGGTAGAGTTGTAGATGGGACCAAAGCTTGGAACCAGTGGATTAATGGGCAAAGAAAAACAGGCCACGGGCTACAGCCAAAAAAGGGTAATTACGGGATAATGGAAAGTGTTTAAGGTTGGGGCTGTTTCAAAAAGTCTAATGGCAAACTTTTTATTCTAATAAAGCTGACGATTTGGCAAGTTGACCCACCAACATACTTTTTGGCACCAACCTTTGTAAAAGGTATACTGTTATTTTTGTATTATATATGGCTAAGGGGAACTAGTGCTTGATGCCCAATACTGGAGTTCCCAGACAGAAATATTTAATATCGTCTTTATTAATAACCCAGCCTGAATTAATAAAGTTTGTTTCACAAACAAATCTTTTTTTCAAACTAACAAAGAAGCCAGACTTTATTCAATTGATGAATAACTATGAAAGTATAACATTGGGAACCTACTAAATAAAAAAGGGGCAAAAGTCTTAAATGTGGAACCAAATTTTTTTGGACTGAAAATTTAAGGGGGAACAAATTGATGAAAAGAGGTAAATTATGCAAGAATTACAAATAGGTTGATCGACCATTTAATCCCCTGCTTGGGACTTACTTTTTTACGTTTTGATTACTTCCACACCTGGACCTTTACGATGCCCAACTATTCAAAGTCCCCCCTATGTGGCCAACCTATTGGGCCGGGCCATAAAGGGATGTTCGCCAAAACGATGTGTGATTTAATTGGATTTTCCAATGCTCCTTTCTAATGCTTTGTAAGGCCATTGGGCACTTGTTATTTTTTAAGGGAATTTAACCCATAAGAAACACATTGTATTGGATTAAACCCTTCCCACTTTCCACAATTTCCAAAACAATCCGCCCTCCCACCAGGGATAAAAAAATTGTAAAAAGGTTTTGGAAGCTGTGAAAACAAAACGGGGAGAAATTGTCCGAACCCTTTTCATTGGCCGAAATTCTAAAGGAAAAACCACGATTTAGTTTTTTTTGCTGGTTGGCTTGCTTAGTGGCATCCAAACCTGTAGGGTTGGCTTCCATGGGGTTGGGTGTTTTCTCTTCCTTCTTCTCTCTTTTTCTTCTCCTCCTTTCTCTCTCCCAAGACTCTTTGAATCAGGGGGGCCAGGGGTCCCTTCGGTTAAAACAAATGGCAGAGTGATTGTTGGGATTTGGCATATTTTTCCCTGGAATAAATTTCATATTGGGCATTTCTGGGAAAAGCAGCGGCATTTTACTGTTTGGTAAAGGCTTTTCTCCTTTTCCTTTTCTTTCCTTCTTTTCTTTCTTACCAACCATTTTCACGGCATGCTGCACGAAATTTAAACCGCTGATTTCATGAGGACCCCACGGGGGGAGTTGAAGGGGAAAAGGTGCTCTTCCAAAAATTTCATGTTTTTCGGCGGTAGGGAGGAGAAAAAAACCCATGCCATTTGGGGCCCCCCTGGGTGGGAAAAAAGCCAGGCTTGCCACTCCGGTGGGATGGTTAATTCAGGGGGGGCCTTGATTTTAATGATGCAATGCCTGTTTTCCGCCCAACCCAAAGGGGACCGAAAGATGGGGGCAGCCACGGCCTTCGAATGGTGGGGAGATTTGGGGTAGAAAGGCCTTGGAGGGAAGGCAAAGGTGGGAGTAAGAGGCTGAAAGCTTTTACAGAGGGAAATTTGAGGAATAGTTAAATAAGGGACTTTTTGAAGGTGGGAGGGAAAGAAATAAGAATAAGTTTTTTAAGTGGAGGAGAGGAGGGGGAGAAGGAGGAGGGGAGGGGACTCCCAAAGATGGAGTCGTATTTAAAAGGGAATGCAAAAAAAAAGTCCATGGATTTTCAGCTTTATTTCAATCGTGGGTGCAAAATGGAGTATTTTGTGTGAGGTTTGTGTGTGTGTGTGTGTGTGTGGCGTGTGTGTGGTGTGTGTGTGTGTGTACGCAGCCAGGCAGGCATATGGACATGTGTGCATATCCACATCAGTGTGTCTAATGGGGCTGGGGGATGTGGTTCTTAATATGAACGCATCTACACACTGTAGCCCCTTTTTAATTACAGCCCTGGCATGCTAAAGAAGCGTCCAGGAGAAAAAAAATAAAAAATCTTCCATTAAAGCCGCATGTAGGCCTCAGCCTCCCCCTGATCAGTTCAGCTGATGACTGCTTTTTTCCCTCTCCCCCTTATTCCCCTCACTTCCTTAGGAGAATTGGGCTGGTGGTATTTTGGCTGTGAAAAGGAAACCATCGGACGGCAGGGGCATGAATATTCCAAATGACTAATGTTGCACATGCTTATTTTTGACATATCTGGCTTCCGCAGGGAAATAAAACACTTCTAATGCAGGGGGACCATCTGTTATCTGTTGCTGGTGTTTCAGAGCAGGCGGGCTCAGTGTGTGCACACACACTCGCTCGCTCACGCAAAGATACACACAGGCGTACAGATAGCACATACGCACGCAGGCAGACAGATCGACACATTCTCACACAGCGGGAGGCGTACATAGACAGCGAGACACATGCGCACACACATGTACTAACAGCTGAATCCGCTGGGAGCATGCACAACAGACAGGCTCTAAACTCCTATACAAATTGAACACTCCTTTTTTAATTCAGTGTGTTTGTCAAATGCGCTGTAAATCTCGAGCTGTAGGGCGACAGCGAAGGCACACACTTTTTATGCTAGCCATAAATACCTGGGCCTGTCTCCTCGCAGCAGCTGGAGCGGGATAATATGCTCGTGGTGTGAAAGGGGGAATAAACTAGCTGCATCACCTTGAAAAACAAAACATGAGACGCACGCAAGCAGCCACACATCCACACTAGGTGGGTTCTCACTTAGATTTGTTTGGAAGTATGGCCAAAGGGATGGATGTATGGTAAACAAAGCTCTCCTATGCATGGATAATCTGCTTGTTATTTTCAGACAATAGCCGAGCTTCTAGGTATGCCAGAATACTTCCATTCAAGCAACAGAATATAGAGTTTCCTTTTAACTACCGTGCCAGTATATTTCAGTACCACAAATTATGTTTTCAAAAAATTCCTGGGGATACCACAAGTCCCAAAATTGATGTAACAATCATGAATCAGCTCTAGCAATAGCCTATGCAGCAGTAAACCAATACCATGGAATACTGTGGTATGAAAATTGACAGTTATAATGCTGTGTACAATGAATTCTACGGTGTAATAAACAAATATAGGACAATATATTATATTATATTATTATATTATATATTGTATTGTATATTGTACATTTTGTAAAGTGTTTCTTTTAAGGTTCATTGCAACTGATAATCACTATAATTATGCAATATCGTTAGATCGCTTCGATTTTCTGAGGCGGCTATTGTACCGTGAAAGTCTCATACCGTTGCAACCATTGTCTAATTCATACATACATATTAATCTATGCTAATTTTTGACTTTGGCATCACCAGTGATAGTATAAAAAAGACGACAGACTGCGAACACCACCACCCCCTTACAACACATTTCATCATTCAGTCTTCATTTTCTTCTTTGAAAAATATAATGCCCTTCCTACGTTACTAATATCTTCTTTATGTTTCATATTGAATTTTCTGACTGTCAGTGAAAGTATTCAGGTAGTCACAATTTGAAAACAGAGGAAAAATAATTGAAACTTTTTTGGCACATCTACATGACAAATTATTTAAATGACTACTTGAAAATCAAATTGTCATTATTTGTAAAACAATGAGGGAGGAAAGCAAAGAGCATCAAAATTATGCAAATATAATCAATTATGAAGGATTTAACTGAATAAAAATAGATTTTCGTCAGACTGAAAAACCTGTTACTGTTATCTGTAATTCTTGTCACACTTATTACTGCTCCATGTATTTGCATGTAGCCATTTCGTACCTCAAAGAAAAAACTATGAAGTTTGTGCGACTGGACTACACTCTCCCTTAGGTGAGTCATTTTTGTGTTCCACCCCCAGCCTTTATTTTGAAGGAAGCACGGCAAGTTCTCTACACAGCACAATTATACACACATTCTAGTTGATCCATTGTGGGTAGCTTGATATAATCATAAGCAACTAGCATCAGGATAAATAAACACACCACCCTCTTAGCTCTTGTGTTAAGGACATTAAGCTAACTTTGGGCTTTATTAAAATTTGTGACACAATAAAAAGATTATTTTAATTCCAGAAATTAACTAACGCTTGTATTAATATTTCCAAACACGGGAAGGGATTTTCTGTGGGGACCACAGGAGGAGTAGGGGGTAGAAAGGGACGGTGAGAAGGTTTAATAACTTACCTCTGTCAACTGCCTTCAAGTGAGGATCTTCACCCACAATACTGCCTGGTGCACCTTGTGTGTCTTTGATCTACAAGCACATAATGGAAGCAGACAGGGACAGAAAACAAGGTCAAAGATCTATACACTTATAAGACCTTGGGTATCACCTGCATTAATGTATAAAGCCACAACAAAAGCATGTTTGTGTATGTGTGTGTGTGTGTGTGTGTGTGTGTGAGAGAGACAGAGACAGAGAAAGTGATTTTAAAAGATCATTTCAGCTCCAAGTCCATGACTCTAATATGCACCTCCCAGCAGACACTGTGCGCTTGATGTTGCAAAATACAAGGTTCCTTTCTGTGCTCTAGGAGGCTCCCAGGAGCCTCTGAAAGACAGTTTAATGATGAAAGACAACATGCCTGGATGCTAGTGTTCCGTTTTAGGTCACAGGAGAAAAACAGGCAGAGCCAAAACAATTTCAGGTCTTTAATTTTCCTTTTTAAGACGCCACATTCATTTAGAAAGAGCCAAGTCACGTTGCGGATCCTCACCTTGCGGAAGGTTTTCAGGAGATAATCGCTAAATCCTTCCTAGAGTAAATATTGTTGATTGCTGAGCTGTGGCGGTAAAATATTGATATACCGAATATCAAAATATTGACATTTATCTCTAGCTGAGAATCTACCTGAGGTTAGGAAAATGTGTGTTGTTACAGCTGTACTATATTCTGTTGTTGATGCTTGTAGGCATTATGAAATTAAAAAGAATAAAAATATTGTGCAAAACATCAATTCTTTCCAGAGTGTTCAGGATTCTGAGGAGGACTAAAAATGACAAGATTCCCACATATGGGGCCGAGGAAATATGGGTCTGATTTGATGACTTGTCGCATGCTGCATGCTGACATTCTTTCCTTCACTGGAAACCAGACTGTAAACTCAACTGTGCAAGTGGGAGACGTCGCCAAATGCAATGTGACTCACCACCTCTGAGGAGAACAAAAACCTGCTTAAGAACACTGTGACATCGCATGCAGTATTTGCGGTTCAGAATATTTTGACAGATTGGACTGAATACAAATGTAAAAACTGTCATGCACCCACCCCCCCCAAAAAAAACACCCATATGAAAACATGTCAGAGTTACTGGTAGAAAAATCTTTTAAGATAATAATCCATGAATATTATTCCCATGAAGCCGTGTCAGCTCAGGTTAGACATCTGGGAGAGATTTCTATTGGTCCTAAATAGATAGTTTTCCCTATGACATCCTGGTTGTAGTCATTTAGCCTGTCTTAAAAGAAAGAAAAATAAATAACAGCTGATGAAAATCTATAGTTCAGTACATTATCTAAACGCAAAATGAGTACAACGAGATTAAAAACTTTAACGTTTTAAGATTCCCCACTATCCAGATCAAGAGTATTGCAAATATTTCAGACTTAGCCAACATAATTTAAAATAACTCTAACAGTTTAACCGTAGGTGAAAGGCCTCTAACAAATTGATACTTTTTCAGGTTTCAGAAATAACGAGAGATCATACAGCTAGGAATTACATGAAGATTGATTTGATGATTTCCCATATTCGTCAGCAAGCAGTGAAAAGCAAATATTGGGGTGTTATGTACCATTTCTTTGGCTAGCATGAAACCTCCTGGAGTCTTGTCCCACAGGCGCATCACAAATAGTCAAAAAGATTTGGGTTTTTTTACATTAAAAGGTCCAGTGTGCAACATTTATGAGGATCTATTGGCAGAGATGGAATATAATATTCATAGGTATATGGTATTGTATTATCACCGGAATATAGAAGTTGTTGTGTTAAATTAGTTTTTATCCATAAGCGCCGCGGACGTGACGAGCCCGCTTCGCTCTACTATTCTGTTTACTTCCCCCTGGCATTTTGTTCACTATAAAGTTATTAAAGGACAATAAAACTCACTGAGCAAACTTGTTATCTCGTTAGCTTAGATAGGCAACTAACAGGACAAGAAGTTCACACCATTTACTCAAATATTTTTACCATCAACTCCTGTCTTTTAACAGTCTGAAAACCATTGCTCTTCTGTGGACAGATTCTCTGACTGTGGCAATTCCATTGGAATGAATGTGCAGTGGAATTTTGCTTTTTTTTTTTTTCTTTTTTACTTTTTACTAGTCCAGTATGCTTGTGGAATCAGTGAACAACCCATGTCTTCTGGATATGGATACAGACCGACAACACATGTAGGCACTGAAAATCTGAAGGATATGTCCAGGTATTTTTGATTGAATTTTTGATAGGAAATACACAGCCCATTTTTTTGGTTAGCAATGGCTTTATTCGCTATAAAAGTAGTAGTATCCTCATGGCAATAGGCAATGCTCACGCGCTACAGTAGCCTCAACAAGATAAGTCGCAGGCACGTATTGTTGCACTGTGAGAGGCAGAAATAATGGAAGCATCACTTCAAGCCCAGTCCTCTCAGTCTACCTATCTTTTCATGCCCACATACTTCTCCAGTTCTTGTTTGTGTGTGAGAATGAGACACTGGCTGAGTAAAGCCTTCAAGCGGCCACATACGCTGCTTCAAGAAATCAGCCAGCACACAAAAACAGAGGCTTGCTCTTGAAAACTGTCTGCCTTTGAAGGATCTTTATTCTCCGTTCCCCAGTTGCTGGAGATGTGTGTAACAGCTTAGACATACAATGGGTGTACCTCGGGCATTTGTCCACTGAGAGCCCAGGCCCAGTAAATGAAAAGAAGGGCACACGTACCCAGGAAGTACCTAATTAATTGACTAGCAGATATTTTGGAATTTATAATCATCAAACAGACTTCATTTTGTTCCCCCACCACCATCCTCGCCAACCCATCTTCCCAGGCGACTTACTTAAGAGACTTATCTTATAAATACAGCCCTAATCAAAATAAATGACTAAAAGCTCTAAGGGAGTTGAAGGCTATACACATTTACATCAGAGGAACTGATGCAATTTAAATAGCCGCCTGTGCAGCGACTTAAGGTTCAAATCGCAGAGAATCCTAACTTATGTAATACTTTCAGTGTTTTTGTTTTGTTTTGTTTTTTTTGCTCAGTTTGGCAGACCTATATTCATTACAGCCAAGTAGGAGAGACACAGCCTTCTTCTATGTGTGAGTTATGCTGAATTCCCTCAGCAGCATGCTCAGTTGGTGAGTGTGTCATATTTTACAGAAAATCTTTAATATGTAATGCGTCACGTGCTTTTTGTCTCTTTGAATGCACTTAACGCATGTGTCCTCTGCATTTGTATACATTCAGACACTTTATGTAGTCACTGCTTTACATCCCCCCCCCCTCCTGTGCTGTGGGTAGACATTTCTTACAGAATGCAGCAGTGACTGATTTTAACCGATAGTAGCTCACAGGCTCTGTTATAGCCAGTCAGTGATGTCTAGCTGAGGTGAAACGTGAAGATGGATGGATCAAGTTTCCAGAGAGTCGAAGTTTTGATGGATATGTTACTGCCACAAAGCCCAATACACCAGATTGCACTCTGAAGCCACATCTCTCATTGTCCAACAGCTCTCTGTTAATTCAAAGAAAAGCTGCTACAGCAATCTAACACTCAAGTTTCAGCTGTACTAAAGTCAAATTTAGGGTCTGTGCGGAGACTGCAGTGTTTCATTGCAGTCTCTCTGCAGAGGCCCAGAGTTTAATGGTAAACGTGGAAGCAGTGCAATGTTTGCAGAGCTCCCAGAATCTCCTCAGCCTCGTGACACGGTTGCTAATGCGAACTGAACTTGACTGTGACATTTGTGGAAGCCTCTGCAGAGTTTCACTTTTGAACAGGAGTGCAGAGTGGAGGGTCGATGTGGACCCTTCGCAGACCTTTTGCAGGGCTCCCCACTCACCGCACCAACCAGTTTGCATACCTTGTTGGGGAAATGGGTTGAGTGTCAGTGCAGTGACTCATGAGCATTTTCTTACCTGCGAAAAGAACCAGGCTAGACGTCAACTAAAATTACTTGGATATGGTTAGAGAAAGACTGTGCCTTGCATGTCAGAGTTTACTTAAGTTCAACTCTTTATTAAATCATAGCTCTAATCCACTTCAGCATGATACACCGATCACAGCAATTCCATTGAATTGTTGGTTTTGGACAACAATTTACAGGAAAACGTGCCAAGCAGTACTTTTTTGTATGTGTAATTTTGGGGAGAAACACATGGACAAACTAAACGTCCTGTCCCATCGGGTTTTATTTTTATTTATTTTTGGCCATAAAGAAATAAATCTATCTAAGCCAGCAGCTTTGCTGGTGATGGCAAACAAATCGGTACACGCACTATTAAATAAATTATAAATACATTTTCCTCCGAGAAGCCTAATTTTTTTTGTATTTGGAACCCATAGCTAGCCTTGCTAGGGAGACTTAAGTAGGGGAAAAGGCGCCAGGTAAGGACGCAACATATGACACACATTTTAGTTGACGTGTATTGTTGTGTGTAATGGCTACACATTTTTTCAACTCGAGAATGTAAGAATCCGATTTGGCCTATAACAATGATAAAGGACGATTGATTTATTAACTTTTCCACTGTAAAACATTCCATAATTCTAATATAACAGACCAATCATGCAGCATTTTAGCAGTTTGATAAAACTGCTTTCCTTTACCAACAACAAAAATTTGTAGTCTGTTTTTCCATTCTGTTTAAGTTGGCCATGTTCGAGGATCTGATGCTGGCAGCATTTAACAGTAGATCAAGGCAGCACAGACAGTGTGTGGTGGCGTAAGCGTGCATATGTGTGCCTGAGAGACGGCGTGTGTGCTCTGTGAGAGGTAAAATAATGACAGTAACACAGTGACGAGCAAAGCGCCTCATATTTTTGGGGCCTCAGGCTGGGGCAGGCCCTTCCGTTTTGGAGAAACTTCTTCGTCTCCTCTTATTCCCCTTTCCCTTGGTTCCCTCCTCCACTTCCTTTTCCCACTCCTCCCCCCCGTGGCACTGTTTAAACAGAGGACAAAGACGCCCTAAGTGGTTTTCCTTTTTCCGATCGCATACATGGCTGCTGGCGCTTTCCTCTTCTGTATCTCCAGCTTGCAGCCAGAGGAGTGA